GATTGCCATGTGGCCTGACTGCAATCCTATGCAGGGAGCAAGCTCCTGGGCATAAACGCCATTGAATGCAGTGCTACTTACTGCATCGTTTCAGCTTGAAAAATGCATGCAGCTCTTAACAAAAGATCTTCAACTGGCCAAAATGCAACCTTTAGCTTTTAGTTAGACATGCAAATAGCGTTGCAAAGCAGTGTTACCTTGCAAAGAAGTGTCAAGACATTCAAACAACCTTGTTACCATTTAGACTGGTTGCATGAAGTACGAACCGCACCAATGGAAAGAAGTATCCAGCCTCCGGTTGATTATTTTCCTTTCTCACTTCTGTTAGGCTAACGTAGCCTAAACAACAGTACAACTTGAAAGACTCGTTATCCCCTCATTTGAGGAAGATCCATCAGTTACCTTAGTGCTCCAGAATATGACATAATTCCTCCTGCTCTGCATAAAGTCTCAGATCAGCATCCACTACCCCCTCCTGTTCCTGCTCTACTACGATACTGCCTTTTGTGGGTGTTTTGTATTAAAAAAATTCAGTGTGTGACTTGATATTCTACGGGGGTCAGATGCTCCTCTCACCTGCAGTCTATGTATCACATCTCCATGGTACACGCATGCACATGAACTCTAAGACAACATGTAGCATACTCAGCCGGCCACTTCACACATTGCAGCTTTTGGGACAATTGTGTTCCTCTGCTAGATCTTTCTGGCTTTGAAAACAGTGAAAGACTTGCTGCTATAGATTACATCAGATATAACATACAGCACACCTTATAGCAGAGCTGTCATTTTTGCATCGCCCCAAAATAGGGTGAGAGTTAACATAAAAAATCCATATGCACATGTATGTGTATAGATGTAGATCTAAAATCAATTACTGTGATTTAAATAAAAGTGCATCATATATCACACTATCTCACCATAGTGAGAAGACCATGAGCAGGTGACCAGGGTTAGAGGAGAAATTTGATCTTGTTTGCATTTTTATGAGAAGCTACCTAATTTGCACTTCTTGAACCTGTATGTAAACTGAAACACAGCCATCCTGTGGACTCTGAATTCCTCTGAATTTTGCAGTACAGTTATCTAGCCAGATCATGTGGTACAAAATGCATATCCTGGGGTAAAGTGTACATACAGGTGTTTGTGTTTGTGTGTGTGTGAATATAAGCTACAAAATGCATTGCATTAGGCAAAAAAATGTGTATATTAGGCAAAAATGTATATATTAGGAGAAATTTGCATTAAAATGCTGATACGTTTTCATGATCACTTTTTTTAGTGCACATACTGATGTGGAAATGTGGAGAACTGAACATAAGATTGGGGAGGGAGAGATGAGAAACCTAGAAAGCCCAAGATTGGACACAGTCGCTCTTTTGACAGGAGTTGAATCCTACAGCTCTTCCACCAGACTCAAATCGGAGTACTGCCTCTGAATCACAGCACTGACTTGCAATACATGTGCTAATATATACACTGAACAGGGAAGAAAAACAGAGGGGCTGGCATCTTTTAACAGCATTCCCAATAAAATCCTTGTATTCTTAAGGCTCCAACTTGGCCATCCTTTTCCCCCCACGCCCCAATTCTTTTTTCTTTTTTTTTTTTTTGAGAAAAAGCCAAAAGGGAAAGGGGCATAGTGGAAGGCATGGTGTTTCATGCCTGAGAAGATTAGCTCTCCGAATTGCATACGGACCTGTGGTGGGAGTGCAGGCGAGGGGTGGAAGCAGAGGAGGGAAAGGAAGCCAGCCTCCCTTGGCAATAAATAAGCTAGTTCATTTAATAAAGAGGAAGGGGGTGGAGGGGAAATGGCTGAAAGAAAATGAGGTGGGTGGGTGTGGAATTAGCCTTGTCAAACAAGGGGCTTTGCTGTCCCAGAACTACATCTTTATTGTTGCCATTTTCCACGCTTACTTAGTTCTGAATGCTGCAGAAGACAACAGCTCATTATGGGGAGGGGGCTTGAGAGAATGGGAGAGATGATGGGGTAGAACTGCAGTGGAGGTGGGGAGCCATAGGGCCCAGACTAGTCCTGGAACCTGAAGGGCCTGGGGTGGAAAATAGGAAGCTTCCCCCTAGGGTTTCTTACAGCCTACACAGAACAGTAGCTCATAGGAGGCAGGATGGCTAATGATGAACAGGGCGGAGTGATACTTTCTCACTGATGCTGTGAACGTGATGTTAATTTTTATAAAAGGTTCTTAAAAAGATTTAAACTACTAAGGCCCAAATATCTGAAAGGCCACCTCCTTCTCCACAATACCCCCTCAGGTGCTAAGTTTGGCAATGGGGCTTTCTAATTTTCTTTTTGTGGTTGGATCTCTGGTGGTTACCCTAGATTAATTATGGAATTACGATGGAGTTCGTTCAGCTGGCTATGGATCAGGTCCTTATACCCTCCAACATTTCTCCGATGCAAATAGGGACATCCCATTCCATAATGATAATTATACTATTTATACCCCACACATCTTCCTGCATTGCCCCAGCCACTCTGGGCAGCTTCCAACATATATAAAAACATAATAAACATTAAACATTTAAAATATTTCCCTACATAGGATTGCCTTTAGACAACTCAGGGGTTGGATAACTCTATACCCTCCAACATTTCTCCCCAGAAGCCTAAAACCTAGAGAGAAAGAAAAAAATAGGTCACAACACATCTCCTCAGCCAGACCTACAGAGGCTGACAACTTTCCCTCTTCCTGCCCCCCTCCTCCCCCAATTCCTTTGTTTTGCCTCCCAATAAGGAGGACCAGATTCCTCGGATCTATGGCTGTGTGTGTTTGTGTGAAAAGGGAGGGACTGGAGTCAAGATGGGAGTTGCTCTTCATCTGACTAAGAAGACCATAGAGCCTACGTTCTCACTGGAAATTGAAAGCAGAAGCCGTGGAGCCGTGACAAAAATCTGCATTACGTTATGGCAACTCTTGGCATATATATATATATATATATATATATATATATATATATATATATAACATCGATTTGAAACTCTGCCAGTGATCATCATCAAAGTGATATCAGCGCCTTGGAGGAAGAACAATGGTTCTGGAGCCTGGAGTTTAAAAAGGCACCAGGATGGAGGAGGGAGGGGGACTGGGAGGGCAGCCGGGAAATACAAGGGAAGAAGCCAAGTGTTTGTGCCAAATGCCTCCCCCTCTCCCCCCCCTCCAACTCAGTACCAGCTCCAGAGACAACATGGATGTGGGTGGCTGGGTCTTTTTGTTGTTTTGTTTCAGAAGGTGTAGATGCAATTGAGTGTGGATAATGGGAGCCAGCCAATAACATCAGAGTATGCGATAAATGGACACACTGGGTTCTGTTAAGGCTGGCGTTGCCATCTCACTGGCCCCTTTCCTGAGCATCCTGGGAGGGCAACTCTGGTCCTAATGGCTGCTACCTGTATCTGTACTGCTTCACAAAGCCCTAAACCAGGATTTGGGGAACCTCAGGATGAAGGTCCAAATCCATCCCTCCAGGTCTCTCTTTCTGGCCCTTGGGACTGTCCCCTGGCCTGCACCCCCTCCCTGGCCTTGCTTTGCCCCCCAAATATGTTTGCCTGCCTGGAATATGCCATTGAACTCTGAGAATGCTACTGGTATGTGCCCCCCTTCGAAAGTTGCCCAGAAGGAGATGTAACCCTCAGGCTGGAAAAGATTACTCACCCTTTCTCTAAATGGCTGGGGGCCCAAATATCTGCAAAAGCACCTCGTCCTCTACTCCTATTTGGCCCTTAAGTTCAGCAGGGTGTTTGGTGCTGGTGTGTGAGCTCTGCTGGCAGTCCCCATTGGGATTTACGGGGACGGAACACATAAAATGGCCTTCTCTGTTGTGCACCCGACTCTGGAATTATCCTTCCCTAGACATACATCTGCTGTTGTCATTGCTGGTCTTCAGACATCAACCGAAGACATTTTTATTTCCCCTGGTTTTTGTGGCTTGATTCTGGGGTTTTTAATCCTCAGCAGCAATATTTGCATTTGGTTTTTTTTAAACTAGTTGTTAATATTTCTGTCTACAATTGCACTTTTTCACCATCCTGAGCTTCCTTGGAAGAAGAGTGATCCTAAATATATAAAAGGTAAAGGGACCCCTGACCATTAGGTCCAGTCGTAACTGACTCTGGGGTTGTGGCGCTCATCTCGCTTTATTGGCCGAGGGAGCCGGCGTACAGCTTCCAGGTCATGTGGCCAGCATGACTAAGCCACTTCTGGCGAACAGAAACGCCATTTACCTTCCCGCTGGAGTGGTACCTATTTATCTACTTGCACTTTGACGTGCTTTCGAACTTCTAGGTTGGCAGGAGCAGGGACCGAGCAACGGGAACTCACACAGTTGTGGGGATTCGAACCGCCGACCTTCTGATCGGCAAGCCCTAGGCTCTCTGGTTTAACCCACAGCGCCACCCGCATCCCTCCTAAATATATAAATAACATTTAAATAACATTGCATTCTGGGCTCAATAATCTTAAAGCCTCTGCTACCTCTTTAGGTGGCAATATGTTTTACTTCACTGACTTCAGAAAGTGTTTGGCCAACCTTGCAGTGTTCTGGGGATGCTCCTGCTCATTCTGATGAGTGGTGCTAGTGATACCTTGCCATGCAGTACATGGGAGCTGTCTTATACAGAGTCAGACCATTAGCCTATCCAGCTTTAGCACTGTCCCCATTCACTGGCAGTGGATCATCAGGCAGGAGTCTTTCTCCTGCCCTATCTGGAGATGCCATGGATTGAATCCAGGCACTTCTGCATGCAAGGCAGGTGCACTGCCACTGAGCCATGACCCTGTCCTAGTACAGGAGCTTTGCTTCAAAGCTGTTTCCCAAAGCCTCAACCTCAAAATACTTATCTATAGCTGAGACACCCCGGGCAGGAAGGCTGCTGGGTGGTTTTCCTTTGAGTTGACTTTTTTCATCTTATGGTAGCTATTGATTTAGGAGGAGTAACAGTTTGCACTTTAATTAACAAAGAGAGGCCGGCATAGGGACTCACACATCTTGCACATCTGCTTTTCTAATGTGGCTGGGTTCTGCAAAAACAAATAGACAGCCCTCGTTGCATAAATTTATGCACTCACAAATGTGTTTCTCTCCACTTCACCACCTCAAAATTCCAACCCCCCAAACGCTGCATTTTCAAGCACAGCTGACAATTAATTTTTCTCTCCTTTTTCAGCCTTTGAAAAGCTTCTGTTATAAATAGTTGAGATGCAATTTTGGAGCGTATCTCTGAATTTAAGGCCCAGCCTAAAGCATCCAGAGAGCTAGACAGATTCATCAACGTCTGTTAGCCGCAATTGATGTTCTATCTCTACTGTCAGAGGCACCATGCCTCTGAATGCTAGTAGCTGGAGACTGCAGGAGAGGAGAATGCTGTTGTGCTCAGATCCTGCTTTCAGGTTTCCGGGCTGGCCCACCCATGAAACAAGGTGAGGCGACGGCCTCAGGCAACAGGATCTACAGGGGCAGCAGATCCGGCCTCCAAGGAATGCATCACCTGCCGCCACCACCGTGGTGACATGCTCGTTGGAGGTCGGATCTGCTGCCTTCTCAGCATCCCCAATTGGACTTCAACTCCCAACAGCTGCAACTAGCCTGGCCAGTGAGGAATCTCCAACAACATCTGGAGGTTCGCAGGTTCCTCCATCACTTATTCATTATAGTGTGCTGGGAGAAGTAGATGTATCCAGTCATTAAAAGCTCTTGCAAGCTCAGATTCTCCACCCAAGAGGGAACTGTCCAGCGGATCATGGGTCTGCCCTTGACTCCTTCCAGTGACCCTTCTGTCACTGGGCGTATGTTATCATATCCCTTAACAGCTTGGGACCAGCAAGATCACCTTACCCCATATATGCCCACTGGATCGCTTTGATCTGCACTGTTACAAGAGCCACATAATTCTCATTCTACCTTTTTAAGAAATCAATCTTTCGGCGTGGCAACACCCCCACTTTGGAACTCCTTGCCACTGGACATCAGGTGGGTGCCTTCTCCGTATTCTGTTTGGTGCCTGCTAAAAGCAAATTTGTTTAGGCACGCCGATCCAGACATGTAAAATGTTGACATGTGCTTTAATCTGTTTTTTAGCTTATTGTTCATTTTAATTATGTTTAAATATTTTAAATAGTAGTTGTTTCAACCATTTAATAGCTGTTCCAACTATTCTTTTCATAAATCACTTGGAGCTTTGCTCTTTTTTTTTTTAACAATCATGGGACATAAATTTAATGACATTTTATGAAATAAAAATAAAATATATTTGTACTTGTGTGACAGAATGATTCAGTTATTTTCCAGAAGAATGGTGCAGGGTTCCTCACACACAGAAGGGGCAGCCCAGTCAGCTGAAAAGATGAAAAAGATCACTTGCTGAATGTGAGTCAACCATACATGACGTTAAATACTTTCCTTTATTTTTATTTTGTATAGGAACAACACAGAAGGCTGTCTTACACCAAGACAGACCATGGTGCCCATGTAGCGCAGTACTGTCTACACTGACTGGCAGCAGCTCCCCAGGGTTTCAGATAAATATTCTGTCCCAGCCCTACCTGGAAATGCCAGGGATTGAACCTGGAGCCTCCTGCATGCAAAACAGATACTCTACCTACTGAGCTATGGTCCTTCCCAGTAGTTCACCGCTGCACTTTACCAACCCAGTTCTCCCACAGACAGCTGCTTTTCTTTTCTGTTTCCACAAGTACCCAAGCCTTCCAGTTGGGCAGACTTGTTTTACCCTTGTGCTACCCAGCCGCTAGGTGTGACAGCCTCCAAGCACTATGTGGGAAATGGTGGTAAAGCAGTGTAGGAATCTCATTCTGAAATAGCCTGTCTGTCAGCTTTGTTTGGGGTGGCTGACTACATCTGGACTGACCACCCAATGCAAGTTGGGGTGATCTGATGCACTGATTCCTCATCCGCTCATATAAGCACACAGGCCTGGCATCAGTGCACAACTCCCTTGGGCAGCTGCCATGGGGCCAGGATTGTGGCATGGCCCATGGCTAGGGTTGGGGTGAATCTGTCCATTTCAGCATCCGTGCAGTTTCTCATTTTCCCAGTCTTCAATTCATTTTCCCACATGAGTCTGCATGAAAACTCACATCCCCCCCCCCAATGTACACAATTTTTGCAACCCAGGCCAGAGAGTACACACACCATCATCAGCCAGAGAGAACTGTTGGGGCAGCTCCTCCCCGACTATCCCTGGGGCTGCCACACCCTGTGTGCCCCCAGGGAAGGCAGAAGGAAGGGAGCCCAAGTCAGGGAACACACACACACTGTCAGTGCCCAGTTGGCATGAGAGGATTCTTGTCCCTCAACATTTATATAAAGTGCCTCTTTTAAAAATTCTTAACTGCCTTAGGTACCTTGAGAAAAAGGTGGTATAACTCAATTAAATAAAGTGATTTTTGTTTTCTAATATACAGTGGTACCTCAGGTTAAGTACTTAATTTGTTCTGGAGGTCCGTTCTTAACCTGAAACTGTTCTTAACCTGAAGCACCACTTTTGCTAATGGGGGTCTCCTGTTGCTGCCGCGCCGCCAGAGCATGATTTCTGTTCTCATCCTGAAGCAAAGTTCTTAACCCGAGGTACTATTTCTGGGTTAGCGGAGTTTGTAACCTGAAGCACATGTAACCGTATGTAACCCGAGGTACCACTGTAAGTCATTTCTGTTATGTTATTTTCATGCATATATGCATTGTTATGCACACTTTACCACAGCACGTTCATTTTTGCACACATTAAATGGCACTGTAAAATTGGGAGAGGTGTGAATTTTGAAGGATAGCTGTGGTTCAGGCTGGGTCTCCTCAAAGTTGATAGGCATTGCCATTCAAACAGTGTGTTTGCACCGTGTCTTGTGATTGATTATGCTGGGCGGGGCCTACCTGTCCCCAATATTTTATTCAAGTTGACACACCTGTTTGGGATAATGGGAGTTGTAGTCTAGGAATACTTGAAGGACCATTGATTCCCCATCCCTGTTCAAAATGGAGGCGAGCAGGAGGGTTGCTGAATGTATGTTTGAGTGTATCCTGTATGTAGCAGAAAGCAAGGTAACAATCACACAAGATATGTGTGAGGAGGAATATGCTTTGGACACCCAAGTCCAGTTAACAACACAGCAGTAGCACCATTTTAATTTTTTGAAAAATCCCATGGACTGTTTGCCTTGCCTTGGAGATGGAAGTTTGAATCACAACATGTCCACAGCACCCAAGACAACAGTTTCCTGCTTTGGAAAAGGAACCACAGTCAGTGAACGGAAAGATCAATGATCTGAGACCACCAACAGCTTTCTGTGGGATGCTAATGAAGCCTGCTGAGATATCTCTGCTTTTTAGGGACAATCCTTCTCAACTAACAGTAGACTGATAATTAAGTTCTACCTTTTTTTTACCAAAGCAAGGCCTCTTCAGACCAGATAATCTTGTAGGCAAATATTGTAAAAATTACTTTGCCGTGGCCAGCAAAGGGACCAGCCTGTGAAGGCCAGATTCTCTAGTATGTGATATTCTCAAATCCCAGTCCTGTGCATTAAATCTCTTCTTTCTGGAAAGAACGTGCAACATACCTCTGCCAGATGTTAACTCAGTTGGGGCCAGGGTTGCCCACTTAGTGAGTTGATAAATTCTGAGAAACGCCCACCTTCCTTTGTGACTGATGCCTATGAAGTGATTTGATCAGTACATCAAGGTGGTCCAGGAAATGGGTGGGAAATGGTGGTCAAGCAATGTTGCAGCCTCTTGTAAAATAGCTCTTCCATTAGCCTTGTTTGTGTCCAAAATGGATTTCTCCCACCCCCGCCCCCCGCCAGAAACCAGGGCAGGAAAGAGAATTTTTGTAGGGGCCAGCAAAGTAGTAAGATAATTGCAATTAGCAGCCATGGGCAGAAGGAGAAGACTGGGACCACAGTGGATGTGTGGCATCCTACCCCACCCTCATCAAGGTTCTGATCCAGAATGAGCTCACTGTGCTTGCTATTTATTCTAAAACAGAACAGCAACAACCCCCATACATACCATTTCTAATTGTGTGGATGGTGCCATGTCTAAGAACATCTGTTTTGAATGCAGAAGGCCACAGGTTCAGTCTCTGGCATCTCCAGATAAGGTGGGAGATACTCTGCCTGAAACCCTGGAGAGTTGCCGCTGGTCAGTGTAAACAAGACTGTGCTTGATGGGACAGTGATCTGACTCAGTAGTAGGCAGCCTCCTATGTTCTTAATTCACCCTAAGCTGCCTTACACTAAAGCAGGCCAGTGGTCCATCCACTCCTGCATATCAACTCGGCAGGGAAGCCCTTTTCCATCCACAGTACCCTAAATATTTTCTAACTGGAGATGTTGAGAACTGAATCTATGACTTCATATGTTCTTGATCACTGAACTACATATGCTAATGTGATTGCGTACATCTATCCCTTCATTTAGACTGGTCTTCACACTGGAGACAAACAGCCGCGGGCTCAGAGAGAGGATGGATATTCTGGGTTCTGTTCCAAAGCAGAGCATCCTCAGACCTCTGGTTTCGGTGTTATTTTCAACCCACTTTCAAGGAGTGAGGTTTACTCTAGGAAAGGAGTCCATGAATTTCAGGGGGAAGCAGCAGGTCTTGAAGAGATGTACACTACATAAAGAGGGACTGATGCCAGCAAAAGAAAACTAGAAAGCAGTACAGCCTACATCTTGTTGGGCAACTTGCAGAGCTGCCATTTCTTGTAGCCAACTCAGATATTGTTCAATGACACCAACTTTGCAAATAAGGCCAAAGTGTTTATTAGCCCACTTGCCAATACGTAACTCTAGTAGCCATAAGTGGCACACAGCCATATATGGAGAAACAAAGAATCAACTCCCTTTGACTTCACAACAGCTTATTTGCTTGGTTGTCTGCAGCCTTTAGTTAAAACAACATACAAAATGCATTGTATTAAGTGAAATTCCTTACAAAAACATGTATGTTAGTGAAAACTGTATACAAAAATGTTCATTAAGGGAAATCCACCAAAAGGATGGCTTCTCATGAGAATCTTGTTGTTTTTTTTAAGGACCCTACAAATTGCTGCAGAAATGTGGAGAATTGAATCTAAGATTGGAAAAAATGAGAAACTGAGCTGAAATTGAACTATTTATCCATAGGATTATATGTATTTACATTATATTTGCTTAGGATGGCTTGGCCCATGGTAGGGTGTGGGGTTTTTTTTTTTTTTTTGCAGTCTATAAATCACCTCTAAGCCCCTCACTGCTTTGTATATTTATTGTGTTCTATGATTTAGAGTTAATATTGGTTTTCACCCCCACCTCATTCTGAAACAGGACAGAACACCCTTCAGAATTTTTGGGCTACACCCACATATCTGGTTTGTTGCTATATTTTGGTGTGCAGGTGCATTATACATATCCACACAGCATTGCAGCATGCCTACTATATTGCAAGCCATTAATTGCCTTGGATACATAGGTAGAAAGGCAGCATTTAAAATTAGTAAACATTATTGTGATTCCTCATCAGTTGTTTGTGTTGCAAGCCTCTAAAACCAGGAATGCTTTCCCCCCTTTACAACTACTACTTCTTGGCTCAGTCACCTCCAGCCTTTGAAGTTAATGGTCATCACCAGATCCAAAGAGCAAATTCATGGGATTCACTGCTTCACATTACAGCGACCATGACTATCTCAGACCCTCCAAGTGCCCCTATTTTCCAGGGAAAGCCATTCCTGTTTCTGACTTGATCCCTGAATGTCCTGCTTTTCCTTAGGACGTCCCTATTTTCATCGGATGTCATGAGTGGCAGGACAATGGGGAGGAAAAAGAAGGCAAGGGGTGTAGCTGGGACTGGGACACACTAGGGAAAACAGGGGACGGAGAAGGAAATACTCACAGGGTGACAGAGGATGACAAGGGAATGGGGGCCAGTGCACAGGAACCACAGCAGCAGGACCCATCACCAGAGCCAGAGGAGCCCCTGTCTCCACGAACACAGTGGGCTTTGAGGCAGCGGGCAGGACACTCCAGGAGGCAGAGGCAAGCAAGAGCCCACAACCCAGCTCACTAGCTAGCTCTGGGAGGAGGGGTGTGATTCCTCAGCTGGAGTAGGCTTGGAAGAGGTGAGGGTCACATGCCTCATCAAGCCCAGATGCTGCAATCATAAGATCCAAACAATCCACATGAAAGGTTGTTACAGTTCCACAGAATCCTCTGTGAAACTGTAACAACCTTTCATGTGGATTGTTTGGACCTTATGAACAGACAGGTGGAATAGACACTATTACACGGATGGACCTTATGCATGAACTGACTAAAGAATGATCTGATCCACTGGGTCTTCTGCTTTGTTCGTTTGTTGAACTTTATGAGTTACTTCCATTGAAATTTATGATTTGATACATGAATAGTATACCTTATTAATCTAAGAACACAGCCGGTTACGTCTCGTGTGTTTATTCAGATGCTGCAATCAGCATGCAAAGAATAAAAGGGCAGCAGAGCTGAGGTGCTGGGTCTGTTCAACTAACTGCCCATGTTGATGGATTTCAGCTTGGATGCTTCAGGATTTCTGTGGGACTGTGCTTTGGTTTGGACTTTGGGCATGTGGATTGACCCTGGAATGGAGATTCGATGTACTGACTTGCTGCCAGGTAGGCCAGGGGTTCAGGGCTTTGGAAAAATGTTGGAGGGTATGGTAGGATGTCCCTATTTTCATCAGTGAAATGTTGGGGGGTATGGAGTTATGCAACCTCTGAGCCAAGGAGATATGTCCATAGGGTTGCCATGTGTCCTCTTTTTTCCAGGACACGTCCTCTTTTTCAGGGGTAAAATTTCTGTCCAGGTGGATTTTGAAAAATTTGCCCACACATCTCTTGCAGTGCCATCTTTACCCAGGGGTGCAAGGCACCCGGGTGCCAAATTCTGGGGGGCGCCAGGCACCCACCACTGAAGCCGCCTAAGCTCTTAACTATCTACCTGTTATGAAATAATAAATAATTTTGATCAAACTAGAAAAACAAAATACATATATACCTAGGTATTACCGAAATGTATACCTACTGTTTCACTAAAGGACTTTAGACTTTGTGCGCTCATTCACCAAAGACTTGTCATTCACAACGGCGGCACTTGTCATTCACAACAAGAGATAAGGCGTAAGTGTGGTGTCTGACATAAGCATAATAAAAGTTAATTTGGGGGCTAAACTAAATTTGGGGGTGCTGGGCGGATCTTTGCCCCCTGGCGGCGCATATGCTAAAGACAGGGCTAGTCTCTTGCTATACTTTCTGAATGAGAAATAGTCATAACTAGTGGTTGATGACTTGCTTTCCTCTTCTTTTCCTGCCCTCCTCAGCAATATATCACAGCTTCTATAGCCTACATTTAGTAGGGGTATTTAAAATGAGCCATCATAGCATCCTCGTTTTTGCTGTTCAATATATGGCAACCATAAAAATGTAAGCTACACAACCTTTAGAAGACAACTGAAGGCAGCCCTGTATAGGGGAGTTTTTCAATGTTTAATGTTTTTGTGGTGAGTCATCAAGTTATAAGGCATCAAGGGATTGCATGCATGTGTGAAACTGCTCCTGTACTTCTACGATTAGCTTCACCCCAGGTCTGGGGAAACCTTGAAGCAGTGCTGAGGTTAATAGACAGGGGTGTGTGCATACATACATACATACATACATACATACACACATACATACATACATACACATACCTATGCTTGATACTGGGAGATTATGGCATAGTTTAGATTTAGAAGACGGAATAGGGAGGAGGGAAGCAGGGACAATGGACTGTGGGCTCCTTGCAAACCTTTTCTGCTGTTGACAGGTGGAGCCTGACTGGCTGCCTGCCTCTATTCAGCTCTGGGAGGAGTGACTTTTTAAACTCAGCAGGGAATTCCTCACAGTTAGCACGCAGCTCAGATACTAACCAGCAAGCATGCTGTCCTGGCTCAAGCTATATCTTTCACTTTCACTCTTCCAGTTTTTCCTAGGGCCAGTTATCACAAGTCTACAAAACACACACAAAAAAGGATTGTAAAAGCTTCTAAAAACAGTAAAAAATATCATCTCTGCCAGGAACAGTATGGTTCAGCCACCAAATGCCTGGCTATGCCCTTTGGCATTAGGTACACTTGTTTTGCATTGATCCAAATGGGGTTTTCATAACATAGTAGCCAATGAGCCAAGTAAGCAAGCCACTTCCATGGAGTGTTATTAGGCTTTATTATTATTATTATTTATTAATGCACATTCTGCTTAAGGCCAAAATAGGCTTCTGAGCAGTTTATGAAATGTAAAAGCCTCTTAATGTAAATATTAAAATATAAGCATCCATAATTAATGCATAAGAAAAGATATCCATAAAAACATTGCAGTATAAACACTCATACTTAAAATACACAGTGAAATAATCCCTTTAAAACAGGCATAGGCAAACACGGCCCTCCAGATGTTTTGGGACGACAATTCCTACCATCCCTGACCACTGGTCCTGTTAGCTAGGGATGATGGGAGTTGTAGTCCCAAAACATCTGGAGGGCTGGTGTTCTCCATGCGAGCCTTCACCAGAATGACCCTACGGCTCAATCCTCAGTGGCCCTTTCACTCTTGCTCCAGCCAGCACAACAGGTAAGAAGACCTTCTCAGTGGCTAAAAAGGACCCATTACGTGCCACTTGGGTGGCTGTAGGACAGTGTTTCCCAACTGGGGCTCCCCAGTATATTCTGAGGGGGGCACAGGTGAAAATCGCGTAAATGGGGGGCCACAGCTGCCCCCTGCCCTCCCAGCTATGCCTATCAGGGGCTACAGGAAGGAAACAAGGTTGGAAGGGTGCACGGTCGGAAAAAGGTTGGGAAACACTGCTCTAGGACGCTGGAGACAAGGATCCTGCTGCAGAAATAGGACACCACCACCCCCCAACCCCAGACCACTACACTTCTGATTGTCGGGTCCTGGACTGACCTCATCTATCTAGGCTGGATATTCAATCCTTCCAGAAGTCGTCTTCTCCCAGTTTATCAGCTCTTGTTCTTTTAGTTATCCTTGGGTGCTGACATCTGGCTTGGTTCTCAATCCTGCTTCCTAAATTGCTCTCCTGTCTTGACTTTTGGATTGCTCCATGATCATGCCTGCTTTCGATTTGTCCTTCAGCCCTGGCTATAGGCTTGTTTCATGGTTCGTGGTTTCCTAGCTTCTGCCTCCCCCTCAGACTGCAGCCCTGTCACACATTGAAGCTTACTCCAATTACCAGTAGTACCAGTAACAACAGCAGTGATTGCACCACCGTCGTTCTGTTGGGTGCCAGTTTTAAACCATTTCCCTTTGTTTCTGTCATAGGATAGGATGACAAAATGCCAAGACAAAGATGCGTTTCTGCACATTTAAAAGTTTAGAAGAGGGTTTGTTTTTTTTCAGGTGCAGGTTTTCTCACCCTGCATGACTAATTCCAACTGCCAATATTCCCTCTGTGACCTAAGAGGCTGAAAGCCCCCATTGCATCTGGTCATTCTAGTGAGGAGGACCAGTAGAAATACTTTAGAGTGGGGGGAGATGATTAGCTTTAATTAAATGCAACAGAAGGGTTTAGGAGGCAAGTCCTTTCCTCCGGGGCAGGAGGGGTAGGAGAGCTTTCAATAGGGTCTTTAAGTGGGGTGTGTGTCTGACTCTCATTCGAGTTCCTTCTGCTGTGTGCCTGCAATGTCTTCCCAGGCTGGTGCCTTGGACAGGGCCTTTTTGCCAGCTGAGCAGGTCAGGGAGATGAAAGCATGCCTTTGTAGGCCTGCCCCAGGTTCCTAGGCGACGGACATCACTTCACACTGGCACAGAACAATGGCCAGCCCTGGTCCCTTGGAGTTGTCTCTAGCTGATGTCACCATCTATCATGGCCATCATACTTAGGGGAGGGGAGCAAGTGCGCACACACAAGGAGGACTGCTTTCAAGTCCCCCGAAGGAGCGTGCCTGCTGCCTCCACCCGTCCACAATCTACCTCCCACTCTCAGGGTTGGGAGCAGGTTGGAAAGCATGTGAACAAGGCTCTGACAGTACCATAATGTAGACTTCTCGAATGACCGGGGTTTATACATTGCATTCTTAAACACACACTCCCTTGGGAGTAAGCTCCAGAATAGGGACTTAACATCTGACTATATGTAAAGTATTTGACATATGCATGCACCACCTTTGACAGTGAACTCGTTCAAGTCAGCTTCCAATTCACACACAACACACACAGAAATGTTATGCGATCCAAAATACTGGCAGTTAAACACAAGGAGACTAGCAGCTAATGTGTGAGACAGTGTGATGAAAGTGTTGGACTATGACTTGAGAGAGCAGGGTTCAAATCCCCACAAAGATATGAAGCTCACTGGATGACCTTGGTACCCAGTCACTGTCTCTTGGCTTAGCCTACCTCGCAGGTTTGTTGTGAGAATAAAATGGGGAAGATGAGAAGGAGGACCATGTATAAGGAAAGATGGGATATAATAAATAAGTCAACCAACCAACCAACCCAACCCAGAATGATTAAAAGATGATAAAGCTCAGCAGCGGAACCATACCAATAGTTAAAAACTCAACTCTTAAGAGAAAGCCAGCAATAACAGGCAAGTTTTCAAATATTTCTGAAAGCATATAGTGGTGTGGTCTGGTGGAGCCCCCTTGGCATTGAGTTCCAGAAGTGTGAGGCTGACACACAGAAAGCCCTCTCTATATTGTCCATGCCATGAACTACTTCTGTTGGTGGGCAAATGAGAAGGGCCTCAGTTGCTAGTTAAGGGCTGTAAAAGTAGTACTTCTGTAAGCAGTCCTTTGGATAAACTGGACCCAAGTAAGGCCTTTTCAGACTAAGGGCTCTGTTCCCTTCTGGGCTATGGGTCAGAGGTAGATGGGGCCAGAGCCAAAAGTGGGCAGAACAGCAAATTTATATTTTATCTTTATGCAGCAGGGTAGTTTCTACATGCATTCATAGCCAAGCAAGAGGTCTTGCCAGAGTTCAAGGACGCATTCCAGTCAGGCAAAAACACTAAAGGAGTGTTAGGTATTGTACCTGTGGAGAAGGGGTGTGGTTGTGGTGGGAGTTTCAAGGGCGAGGAAGAGAGACCTGGAGGGCTGTGTTTGACCTCAGGACTGTAGTTTCCCACTCCTACTTTAAAGTTTACAACCAGCCTTTTAAACTGGGCCCAGAAGTATGGCAATAAGCAATGCAGCTGGTACTGTAATGGTGCCACACGATCCAACTGTCTGGCTCCCAGGAAAACTCAAGTGACCACATTCTGGACCAGTTGGAGTTTCTGAAACATCTTTAAAGTCTATTCCATTTAGAGCAGGCTTCCCCAACCTCGGCCCTCCAGATGGTTTTGGCCTACAACTCCCATAATCCCTAGCTAGCAGGACCAGTGGTCAGGGATGATGGGATTTGTAGTCTTAAAACATCTGGAGGGCCGAGGTTGAGGAAGTCTGATTTAGAGCATAGAGCTGTTTTGATGTAGGGTTGCCGTGCTATTAATTCTAGCCACAGCTCAGCCCTGGAATCTGACCCTGGCAGGGCTGGGTGGAATTTCCCCCTGTAAATTTCTGAGTTTTCTTGGAATTCTTGTAGCTTCCCTAGAAATTCCTTTAAAAATGTTTTTTCCTAAGGATAACACCCCCACCCCCCGCTCACACTTTGCTTTGAAATGTCAAATTGGGTGGCAAGGATGCCCTGGAACACATGAAGCAATAATAAAGAGGTCATGTTTCTGAATGTTCTCTCAGTACCTTGCAATGGTCTTAAAAATGTTCTTAAACACACACACACACAGCACCACCACCAAAACCACCACCATCATTCTGGTCACCACCATTAACTATGTTGCTAAGATGGTTCTGACCAGAAAGGTGATTTTTTTTTTTATTACCATTCTAACATTATAGTACTAAAATGTTGTAGCATTAACTGGTATGTTTGCAAATATATTGTTGGAAAAGGTTTTCAGTACTCATTGAAAGATTGATTTTTTTAAAAAATATAGGCATGGCTGCAAAAAGTATGTCTTATGTCATTGCAATGTCAGGCAATTAACAGGTGGAAGGCCCCCCCTCACCTGTCAAAATGATCCACAGAGATAGGAAGGTCAGGATATGGGCCCAGTAGCTGGATTCTCTTCCCCGCTCCTGTTACAGCAAATGTGTATGGCCGCTCTTGTGACCTGGACTTTCTCTACCCCCATAGCTATGTCTCATCTGCTGATCTGAGTGGAATGGAACAGAATTAATGTACGAAGAGAGCAATGATGATTAGGGCAGCACTAGGGGCAACCCATTTGGAAGCAGTCTTGTCCAATCAAACTGGTTTTCTATAGGTTTCAAAGTTGAATCAGTGGGTGGAGGTCAATGTACAGATTCACAAATGCAGGCAATATGGCCCTGATACAATTTAGTGTGAAAGCACCAAACTCTTAATATAGGGAATCTGCAGTATGGAAATGCCTTGTGACCCGCAGTATACTATTCCATAACAATCCAGTATGGCCCAGGCTGTAAATTGTAGCATCACATCATCTTGCACTCCATAGATAGCATGATGGATGAGTGGGAGGGAGAGATTCTTTCTCTCCTTAATCCTTGAGGCACCTCACTGAACACACACTGGATTGAGCTCGAGATGAGAGAAGATGGGCGAAAGAAAAGCTGCCCTAAAACCCTGGAAGAATTTGTGAGCCTCTCACTGCTAATCCAAGCTGAAGATCAGGAAAGCCAGTGGAATAACTTGTTGATCTTTTTGTTATTTTTATTTTGCATGTGCCTGAGTAAAATTAGTTCCCATAAAAGTGAGGAGTTGTCAGCGCTGACTTTAGAGGCAGGCACGGGGCAGACAGCTGTTATAGAGAGCTTGCAAGACAAAGCCCAGCTGATGCCCCTCAGTCCTGCCCTAAAACATCCCCTGCTTTTTCCACCCCCAGCCCTTCTCTCTATAACACATTTGCTAGAGCTACCTCTGTTGCTGCAGACTTCTCCCTTCTCCATGGATAGGCTGTTCCTATAACTATGATTCAACATTGCTATTTAGTACTACTAGAGATGCCTGAACAGCCTATTGTTCACCCTGAAAGCAGCAAATAGCACGGCTGCATTATGGTCAATCCTGCTCATGAGCATTTTGTGAAGAAAATACATACAGTCGTACCTTGGTTCTCAAACGGAATACATTCTGGAAGTCCGTTTGACTTCCGAAAATGTTTGAAAACCAAGGCGCAGCTTCCAGTTGGCTACAGGACCTTCCTGCACTTAATTGGAAGCTGTGTAAGCTGCATTAGACGTTCGGCTTCCCAAAAACGTTTGCAAACTGGAACACTCATTTCCGGGTTTGTGGCGTTTGGGAGCCAAAACGTTTGAGTTGCAAGGTGTTTCAGAACCAAGGTATGATTGTATATAGATCACCCATGTGGGGTAATTAATAAAAGAATTGGCTGGCTCTCTAGATCCAAAGCACAGGGCTAAACCTTTTAAATATCCTGTTCTGAGTTGCTACCAGAGCTTCCCTGGTTCTACCCCTTTAGCACTGAACAGACCACACATCCCAAAAAGTTTTAAAAATGCTTTACTTACAAAGTTCCAAAGGCCAGGTTCGTGCATTCATCCATGCAGCAGCAAATAAACACAGGCAGAAATCTTGGGATACAAAATATAGTGAAATAGCTCTAATCATGCGGTTTGAGTAAGCTCAGGCATGTCCTATCACATGGTGAAAGAGAACAAAAAGGGAAGAAACTTAACTTACTTACATCCAGGTGAGGGATGTGACCTAGCTGAATCTAGGAATACAGATCTGTGGTCTTAACACCTTCATACATTAACTATCCCCAAGCTTGCTAGGTATAAAGGTAAAGGGACTCTGGGGTTGCAGTGCTCATCTCACTTTACTGGCCGAGGGAGCCGGTGTACAGCTTCCAGGTGATGTGGCCAGCATGACTAAGCTGCTTCTGGCGAACCAGAGCAGCGCACCGAAATGCCATTTACCTTCCCGCCATAGTGGTACCTATTTATCTACTTGCACTTTGACGTGCTTTTGAACTGCAACATCCCTAACCATACCCACTTCTCTAGCCACCATCCCATTTTGAGATCCTATTCAGTTTCACTATCTGCCAACATGTGAATTTGGGGGAAATTCCATTATCCACCAAAATAAAAAAATATAGATGTGCATTCACCAGCGGTGCTAAAAGCAACTTGAATGCCTCTTCTTACAAGTGCTTGTTTGTATGCCATTGATTTAAAATATTTATTTTTAAATATTTGTCTAGGCATGGCAGCCCTGCAGCATATGATCTCACTTGATGGATACAACACAAATTAAAACATTAAAATCATGCACATGCAATTGATAAAAGATCAGGTAAAAATACAACATTGTTCTTAAAAACCTATAAAAAGAGGTGGGGAGAGAACCCATAAGATATCTCACCTTCCACCCAAAACAAGGCGACAGAAGCTCTTACTTGTATATTCAGGCCAGTAATGGTACAGGTTCAACAGCAGACATAGCAGTAGGAGTCAAGATTAGGAGCCAGGCAAGTATTTCAGAACTGAGCAGAAGCAGCAAAGATGTCCTAACCAGTTTCCACATCGCTTTGACTAAGCATTTCAAGAGAAGGCATGGCAAACCTACCAGCAGCACTCGTATGCTTTGCAAGAATGCCAAGTTTGTAAATGCACTCCATTTGGATGGTTGACTCTGTTTCCCTCTACAGAGACTGAGACTGGATTTTGGCAACAAGGCTGCACCCTACCTTTCTGACTCTTTGTTCAGCCTCTGCCATCTATGGCTCAGCCATCCCCAACAGGTGGCCAGTGTCCTCCTCAGCCCCCAATGAGGCTCTCCACTCCACAGGAGGGGCAGAACTTCCATTCCTCTTTCCCACACTTTGCCCTGCCCCTTCTGCTTCCTCCTAATCCTCACTAGTCTGAGCCTGCCAATCCATGCCTGATCCTGACAGGACTGTGGGGCTTGTGTCATAAGAGCTACAAAGGAGGTTCCTAACTTTACACCTGTAAACACTAGCACTAGTCTCCTACAAAAGCCTGAAGTATAGGCAGGTCTGCCTGGCACTGAAAACAACAAAATCTAGGCTTATCTTGCTTTCTGGGGGAATGCATGTGGTGTGCCGCCACAGAGAAAGTTTTGATTTTCCAAATTTGTAAACAAACAAACACACATAAATCCTAACTGTAATTATTCCACTATTATTAACATTGTTAGGTGACTTCCTCAAATCCCCCGGCTGAATTTCAATGTATATCATTGTAACAGTTTTCCAAGACTAATTTCTCATAAAATTTACTTAGTCAATTAACTTCTTTCTTACTTTTCATAGAAACTTTAAACATATTATTATATATAATCACATATTTAAATCCTAAGCCAATCTGGTATTTGCAAGTATTTCTATTTAAATTATCTTAGCATATTTAACTAAATATTCTTTAAATTTCATCCATTCTTCCTGGTACTCCTCCTCCTTCTGGTCGCGGACTCTTCTGGTCAGGTCGGCTAGCTCCCAAAAGTCCATCGTCTTCATCTGCCATTCCTCCACTGTTGGTACTTCTTGTGTTTTCCAATTCTTGGCTAATAAAATCCCTGCAGCAGTTGTGGCATACAAAAACAATCTAACATCTTTCTTGGGCAATTCCGGACCTATTATTCCAAGAAGGGAGGCCTCTGGTTTCGTAATAAATGTATATTTCAACATTTTTTTCAATTCATTATAAATCTTCTCCCAGAAGTCTTTCACCTTGGGGCAGGTCCACCACATATGATAAAAGGTACCTTCTTTTTCTTTACATTTCCAACATAGATTATCACTATTGTGATAAATCTTTGCTAATTTTACAGGAGTTAAGTACCATCTATACATCATTTTCATAATATTTTCCTTTAACACTGAACATGCAGTGAACTTAACCCCTTTCCTCCACAACCTTTCCCAGTCTTCAAACATTATGTTATGCCCAACATCTCTTGCCCAATCTATCATCACAGATTTAGCTTGTTCGTCCTTTGTATGCCACTCCAACAACAGATTATACATTTTAGATAAATTTTTAACTTTAGAATCTAACAACTCCATTTCCAACTTGGTTTTTTCTGATGCAAAACCATTTTTCTTATCTAATTTATACAATTCATTGATCTGATGGTAATGTAACTAATTTATTTTATCTTTAATTTGATCAAATGGTTTTAATTTAAATCCTTTTTTCTCTTCCAGTAATAGATCTGAATATCTCAACCAATTAGTTTCCATATTTAACTTTTTCTGGGCCTTTGCCTCCATTGGCGAAAGCCATCTGGATGTTTTCTAAAAGATCTTTGTATTTTATCCAAACATTATATAAGGGTTTTCTAATTACATGATTTTTAAAACCATTATTGGCCTTTATCTTGTCATACCACAGAGAAAGTTTTGTCTTGCGTCCCTGCGTATTGCACATCTCCCGTTGGTGCTACAGCAAGAATACAAGTACATGCAAGAGTTGTGTTAACATTTAACATTTGGACATGCATCAGATTATAGGCAGGGGAAGTGTGTGAAATTATCCTTGGGGCTGAACTTCACATTACTAGATGCAGGTCAAGTGGCAGGAAGTGAAAGGATTTAGTAGCCCTTCTCCTGTGGCGCTAAAGTATGAAGGTTCAAGATGATTACCATAGGCTATGTCCAACATTTTCAGTCTACTAGCACAAAGGCTGTTGTGCTAGTCGATAGATGAGTTGTAATGTTGCATAAGAGGAATCCAGCGCAACATTTGTGATAGCAGAAACTCATTCCACAACAGATTGTAATTTCTTGTGCAACAACATTCACCTGGAGTTAAACATTTCACCAGTGAGTCACACATACCATGATGTGGCTTTAACTTAGCTCTAAATTGGATACAACCCTGTGTCTATTCTTTTCACTACTTGTTAAACACTGAAATAAGCTTTGTGGATGTCTACAACAAAGGCAGATGTATACCCCTTTTTTGCACTCTTTCCCCTTCTCCAAATACATCAGATTTGTAGAAGGCAACCTCTAGCAGGGCTGCCCTTCTGAATGGGCCTAATGTGGTGGCAGATTTGGGTCACAACCAAAGGGCACCATATTACGAATTATTTAGTTTATTACGTTTTTATTTATTATTATTTTTTATAATTAATTTTTATTCAGTTTCCAATATACATTCCATCCGTTTTTTACGTCAATTTCTAACATCTACCTCTTTTAGACTTCCCCCAGCCTATCTGACAATTTTCATATTATCACAATTACTCGCATTTCTTAAATTTATATTGCGCTTTAACAATCTTAGTCTTATCATCTCTTTTAAGCAACATTTCTATCAATCATTTTCACAAAGCTTCTTGAAAGCCAACAAGCGTCAATTGGTCCTCACATACATTTTTGATATACTCTGTAAATTTATTCCAGTCCTCGGTGAATCTCTGATCGCGTTGGTTCCGAATTTTCCCTGTTAATTTGTCCATTTCTGCATATTCCATCCGTTTCAATCTCCATTCTTCTCTCGTCGGCACTTCTTCCTGTTTCCATTTCTGGGCCATCAAAATTCTAGCTGCTGTCATTGCATATCTAAATAATTTCACATCATTTTTTAAAATTTCATTCCCTAATATTCCCAATAGAAAAGCCTCTGGTTTCTTAACAAAAGTGTATTTCAACATTTTCTTCATCTCATTATAAATCATTTCCCAGAAAGCTTTCACTTTCTTATACTCCCACCACATATGATGAAATGTTCCTTCTTTTTCCTGACATTTCCAACATTTATTACTGACTTTATACATCTTACCAAGCTTCACTGGTGTTACATACCATCTATACATCATTTTCATAACATTTTCTTTTATTGTAGTGCATGCAGTGAATTTCATTCCTTCTTTCCACAATTTTATCCACTCATCAAATTGTATATTATAACCAAAATCTTTGGCCCACTGAATCATTACTGATTTTACTTTTTCATCCTTTGTATGCCACTCAAGTAATAATTTATACATTTTTGATAAAATTTTAACATCACTATTCAAAATTTCTTGATGAAATCTAGATTTCTTTTCCTGAAAACCTCTTTCTGACATCTCTTTTTTAAACACTGCATTTAACTGAAAATAGTGCAACCAATCATTCACATTTTCTTTAACTTCTTCATATGGTTTCAGTTTCCATTTATTACCTTCTTTGATTATCAAATTCTCATATGTAATCCATCTCCCTGTCATGTTGATCTTTTTCACATTCATTATCTCCAATGGTGATAGCCAATATGGAGTTTTAAACTCTAATAAGTTTTTATACCTATTCCAAACTTCAATCAACGGTCCTCTAAAGATGTGGTTTTCAAAACCTTTATGCACTCTATTCTTTTCACACCATAAATACGCGTGCCAACCGAATCTATTATCGTAACCTTCCAAATCCAACAATTCTGTGTTTTCTAACTTTATCCATTCTTTCACCCAGCAAAGACACGAAGCTTCATAATATAACATTCAATCTGGCAGGGCAAAGCCTCCTCTATCTTTTGCATCTGTTAATATCTTAAATTTTATTCTTGGCTTCTTGCCCTGCCAGATATATCTTGACATTATTCTTTGCCATTCTTAAATATTGTCACACCTTTAATTATTGGTATTGCTTGAAACAGAAACAACATTTTCGGTAGCACGCTCATCTTTATCGTTGCAATTCTTCCCCATAATGATAGTTTCATTCTTCCCCACACCTCTAGGTCCCGTTTAATTTTATTCCATATTGGTACATAATTATTTTGGAACAAATCGATACTCCTGGGAGTTAATGTGATCCCTAAATACTTAACTTTCTTAACCACATTCATCTCTGTTTGTTGCTGTATTTTTTCTATTATCTCTTGATCCATATTCTTAGCAATTATTTTAGTTTTTTTCTTATTTAACTTAAAGCCGGACACCTGACCAAAATGTTCTATCTCTTCTAGCACCTCTTTAACACTCTGCATAGGATCTTATTACGTTTTTAACACCATGGGGGTACCAATCAGAATTTCCACCTCAAGCATCACAACATTATAAACAGTGTCTCCACTTTTGAGTTTTGGAATATTCGGTTATCGGAAGAAGAAATCCTAAACACATAGGTTAAAAAAATGAAAACCCTTAGAAAATGATGCATGTTTCTTTTAACACTGACCACCAACCCTGGAATCTTCCTTTTCTCCTCCTAATTCAAGAGAGACTAGGTTGTATTTATTTAATGTATTTATCTATGGTATTTTTACTCTTCTCTTCGGCCAAGTTGGTTTCCCAAGGGTGGCTTAGTCTTTACAACAATAAAATCCATAATATAAAAATTCAAGACAACATGGTGTCTATTTATTGATTTTTGGAAAACAAAATATGAAATTGAAGTTAACAGTGATATTTGCTTTATTGCAATAATGGATACTCCCTTTTAGTATTACACAATTGTGTACATAGGCTGCATATGAATTAGATTAGATGTATATATTTTCCCTGTTGTGTGTGTGTGTATACCTGTATATATACATATATAGTTAATAAAATGAACTAAAAAATAATTGGCATCTGCCATGTAGGGAAGGGTGTGCAATAGACAGATATGCTATTGTCAATGTTCCAGTATGGCTGGCACAGACCTTGTTTGTTTTATTTGAGAACTTGATCTCACAACTTGGCAAATATAAACTGAATTTTTGCATTCTGAAAATGTTAGGGTTGGAGGACTTAAATCGGCTGTGGGTGTAAGGAAGAATAAAAACATACCTTTGGGTTGCAGAAAAAAAATATTTTGAAGTTAACATCCCCAAAACTATTTAGCAATACGTATTGCCAGGTTCCTGCTTGTTCACTGCCATGTTATGAAATATCCTCCACCCCATTTTCTTAATATAAAAACAAAAGTAACTATTTTTCGTCGAGAATAATCTGTGTTTTAGACACATACGAAGCAAAGATAGCAGCATTGGTCCATGAGACAAAAAGTCCAGCATCCCACAGTGGGGCCAAAATCTTTATTACAACCGAACAAGATGTCAGGAAAATCGCGTCTATGAAGAAAGATCACAGCATTTGGGACTTTTTAGTTTGGAGAAAAGGCAAGTAAGAGACGATCTGATAGAAGTTTATAAAATTATGCATGGCATGGAGAAACTGGATAGGGAAGTTTTTTATTCCCCTCATAACAAGAGGACTCATGGACATTCAATGAAGCTGAATGTGGGAAGATTCAGGACATATTGAAAAAAAGCACTTCTTCCTGAGTGCATGGTTAAACGATGGAAATTGGTCCCCAATGAGGCCATGGTGGCAACCAACCTAGATGGCTTTAAAAGAGAATTAGACAAATGCATGAAGGAGAGGGCTATCGATGGCTACAAATAATGGTGGCTATGGTATGGAAAGGGAAATTGTTTTTGTTTTTTGTGGGTTTCCCACAGGCACCTGGTTAGTCACTGTGAGAACAAGATGCTGGACTTGATGGCCCATTGGCCTGATTCAGCAGGCTATTCTTATACAATATTTATTCACATATAAGCCCCATTGAGTTCAGCCTACTCCCAGCTAAGTGTGCATAGGATTGCCGGCTTGATCTGTTAGCTAATTTGGAGTAGGTTTTTTTAATAAAAAAACCAAACTCATTGCATTTATTATTTCCTTTTGATACAGCCAAACTACAGGGTGAGTCTTTTAAAAGAGGCCCCGTGGAACATGTGTACTCTGTATCCACATGGCCTCTTTTAAAGGACTCACCCTGTATAATTAACAACGTTCTGCAGGAGGAAGAATGGTATCAGGCAAAGCTCTCTGAGACGGATACCTTGTACAGCCAATCAGAATCTGAGAAGAAGCAGCGAGAGCCAATTGGAAGCAGACCTGTCTTAAGTCCCAGCCTTCGTGTGCTGTGGTGATTCTGAGGGGAAATTCCTGAGAGGGGAAATCTGCTCTGGAACCTTCTGTATGAAAAAGCCATCTGGTGCCTTTCTGAGGGAAGTGGTGAGCCCCTCATCTAATTGTGGCTGTGGTGAAGGGAGGGCAGCTTGCAGTGCCTGGAAGCAAGTTAGGCTTGTGTATCCTCAGCACTGACCAGAAGAGGAATGACCTCTGAGAAGAGGGGAGAAACGCCATGGCGCACCTGTAGCAGCAAAACCAGAGGGCTTCATCTGCCCCAATAAAACATGCCTCTCCTGTCTCGGTCTCTACAGCCACAACAAGTGCTGTAACAGACCAGGAGGAAGAGAACTTGCCAGTCGGGCCTGTGTCTCTGCCAGGGTCCTACACGCGAGTAGGACGATCCTAACTCTTCCACTGTTCGGATTCTGTTCTTGGACCGAGGTAAAGTTTGCAAACTGGGACACTGCTAGCGGTTTTGCAGAGTTCATAAACCGAATAGTTTGTGAACAGGTCTGTTCTTAAACCGAGGTACCACTGTATATTGCAGCCCTGTAATATGTTTCAGTGCTATGGAAAAACCCTTGTTTTGGAGATTGTTTATATGGATAAGCCCTGACTTTGCTCCACACATCTGTGTGGAGATGAATTCAAGTAGCTTAGGAATTCTGTCAGGTTCATGGTGTGTGAGAACATGAGAAGTGCCTGATGAGCAGAGCTGCTTCTACTTTTTGCATAGCAAGACATCCAATTTCAGTCCTTGAACAAAGATTCATACACAAAGCCTCACAACAGATATAGATGGTTACAGTGAAAGCTATGGAATATAGAGCCATTGTTGTTTTTTAAACTTAAATCATAAACTTGATCTCTGGCAGTTTCTGCACTAGCAGCTAGTGGATTATATCCTTCTTCTAATGCCCACTACCTCTCAGGTCACTGGCAGGTAATATATTTGAGCATTCATCCTGATTTCTTTGTGGGGAGGTTATACAGCATTGTGTTGCTATCCCTTAATTTACAGTGCATTTTCCAATCTGATTTTTTTGAGGTGGGTTTGTTGCACAAGAGGACCACAAATCAATTCTACTAGGAAGCACTTCTTTGATAGTCAACATTTTGCACAAGACATTATTTTTGAGAGGTAGAAGGTTTGGTGCTTTACAGCAGGCGATAGTGGTTTGAACTTACTTATTCTCTGGACTAGGAAGACAAAGCATTTAAAGTCTTCCTCCGCAGGCTTATGCTCAAATCATTTTATAAAGTAACAGGGTGTGTGTGCCATTTTGTAGTAATTATTTTCACATAGTAGCATTATATTCAAATCTAGCTTTGAACATTTGATTGGGTCAGGTGATATAGTAGTTTTAACTCAGAGCTGCCGAATGTTGGTATAAAAGGAGGATGCTGGAATGTACTTTTGCTGATTTGGTGTCTGCTAAAAAGATGTTCAAAGGTGGCAGATCTAAAGCAGCCACTAGCTTATTAGAACAAAGCGTCATGTTGATCTGAAAGCCTGATGTTTCTTCAGAACTCAGCTTCGTTTCAGGGGAATAGAGTAACTCTTGCCGATTGCTGGTTCCAATTTATTCACTACTTGGAGGAGACAATAATCAAGGAAGGAGATAAATAATCTTCAGATGGAACAATTAAATTTAATTGTCTGAAGACTATTTGTCTCCTTCCCTGACTATCGTCTCTGCTGCACGGCTAAATTGAATCCAGCTATCAAGAATATTAAGCTTTGCTTTCCTTTGAGACTTGTCTAGCTGCTGAGACCAAAACCCTGGGTTAGGATTAAGTGATCATTGTTGGTGTTAATACAGTTTGAGGTCATTTTGAATCTTTCACCCATGGAATTGCCTGCTTTGCAGACTCAAAATCTTTTTGAAAAACTCAAGAGGCCCTTCTTGGCTGCTGGGTGCTAGTATGACTCAGCTGAAGTCAGAGATTTTACAAACATGTGCCAAATAAAAGTATAGTCCTTGGAAGGCTAGCAACAGAAGCAGACCCAGAGAGTGGATCTGACAAAGCAGATTGTTCCCTAGGTGTTTGGGGTTTGGCCCTGTTCAAATTCAGGTTCTATCACAGAATCCTTAGTTGGGCCTTGGTGACTAGTACATAACCTCAGTTCCCCAGCTGCAAATTAGAATGAAAATGATCTTGCATAGATGTTTTGAGGATGACTGTGGGAAAAAATGCAAAGCATATCAAATGTTAAATGAGGTGGAAATGAATAGTCATTTTAGGACAAAATAGCAACAACCATAAAGTTATTCACTCAAAACAGTTTATTTATTTAATCTCCACAGAATATTGTGATGACCATTAGTTTAGATAGCTTTAGAATGAGTACAGTGGTGCCTCGCAAGACGAAATTAATTCGTTCTGCGAGTTTTATCGTCTTGCGAATTTTTCGTCTTGCGAAGCACGGTTTCCCATAGGTATTAACGGTTTTAAGAAAAAGGAAACAAACTTGCAAGACGTTTTCGTCTTGCGAAGCAAGCCCATAGGGAAATTCGTCTTGCGAAGCAACTCAAAAAACAAAAAACTCTTTCATCTTGCGAGTTTTTCGTCTTGCGAGGCATTCGTCTTGCGAGGCACCACTGTATTAGATAAATTAATAAAGGAATTAACCATGTCAGCTAATAATTGAACCTCAGTCTTCACATTTAGATCTCTAGTTGGAACTCTTCTTTAATATCTCTGCAGTTAACAGAAAATAGGAGAACTAGGACCACTAAATACAAGGCACACGTAAACCCCCTTTTACCCATTCAACCCCTAGTTAACATGAAAAGTGCTATCTAATATTAGTACTAAAGACATCAGAAGCACTAGATGCCAGGATGCTAGCTTTTTACACAGGCCTTCTTTACTTATTAAATATTAATAACTGGGAAAAGTACAGCAAAATGGTTGCCAGTGCTGTGCTTCCAAGAGGCTGTAGCACTGCTTGTGGTGGTGCTATGGATCGCAGAGTTGAACGCAGTTTCCCACACAACCTCCCCCTTGAGACCCTGAAAATAGGTGTATTGTTTTTAATTACATTTTAACCTCATCTGGTATCATGTAATAGGAGACAATAAATGAGTGAATGAATGAGGCCATGATCCAAATCTTAAAAAAATATAACATGCAAAGCCATCCACAGACTTTAGCTAGGTTAAAATTGTTGGAGGTGTCTATGCTCCTGAAGCAAAATAGGTATAATTTTAGATCACCAATACCATTCAATGCTCTAACTAGGAACACTGGATTACACAAGCAGTTCTTGCCCTTTACAGCACAAATACTAGACAATCTATTAAGCCTAATCTTTCAGAGTGAGTAATGGGCTGGATGAGAACCAATAAACTGAAGCTTAGTCCAGACAAGACTAAGGCACTAGTTATAGGTGGTTCCTTAGACTGGATGAATGGGATGTGGCATACTCTGGATGGACTTATGCTATCTCTGATGGAGAAGGTATGTAGCATGGAGTACTTCTGTATCCGTTACTGTTGCTTGAGGCCTGTGGCCTTGGTGGTATGGATTGCCCTCCCATCAGCCATAACTTGTGGTCCAGCTGTGCTAGGAATGCTACTTCTGTTGTCTGCTCTGGTAACCTTAGGATGGAGGACTGCAGTGTGTTATAAATTGGGCTGCTTATCTGGTGCAGAATTCTGTGGCCAGATTGTTGACCAGAGTATGATGGTCTAAACATATACTGTAACCCCAATTCTGACATGACTGCACTGGCTAGTTTCCAGGCTCAATTCAAAATGCTGGTTTTGAGCTATAAAGCCTTATGTGGTTCAGGAAGTGGTCCCCTTGGCATACCTAGGTTACCTTGTGCACTTAGCAAAAAGCTGTATCCCCCCACCCCCTTGCATCCTTGGCAAGGAGTTGTACTGGCACCTCCGAAGCCAGGAGAGACCATGGTCCAGAAACACAAAAAGGTTGCTCTTCATCTATTTTTGTGCTCTGTCATTGACTGCCTCCGCTGCCATCAGGGTCGGGTCTGCTATGTTTTGCCTCCCTCCCACCCCATTGGTCCATCCTGCCTTCCTTCCCTTGCTGTTTTCCTTCCTAGCCACTCCGAGCCAGAGTGTTGTTGTTGTTTAGCCGTTTAGTTGTGTCTGACTCTTCGTGACCCCATGCACCGAGCCAGAGTAAAGAGGCACAATTTTTGCACTCTCCTGGGCCTACACCCTTGGCAAGGGCCAACCTAGCCAGGCCCTAGGTACACCACTGCTCCCCCACTTGTGGAATGCTCTCCCCAAGCAGTCATACTTGACCCCATCTTTATCCAGTTTTAGGCACCATGTGAATACTTCTCTCTTTACCCAGACCTTTGGCCCTTAGTTAAGGGGTGGCATTGTTGCCTCATTTAGTGGGAAAGTAACCTTTTTTCCATATAGCTGTATTTTTTGGATGTTTTGTTGTACTTGATCGGTTTTAATGTAAGCTGCTTTGGGTTATTCCATAAGAAGAGTGACTGGCAAATATAATAAATAATAATAAAATTATAATGCTGCACGTGGTTTAGATTGCAACTGAGCAGCCAAATTTTGACCCCATGGTTCATATATTAAAACCAATGAGATAGAAGAAAAGAAAAGTGTTATGGTTCTTCTGATGCACACACCCCATTCATTTTATTACGGGGATCTTTGCACACAGATGTTTCTTCCATAGCAATTAATCTTAGGGCAGGAGAGCTGTTTGTGCCTTTGAGAACTCCCACGTCTGCACAAAGTGGGTTCTCATACTCTGATTCAAGTTTGTATTTGCAGCCTCCCCTTGCTTCCATTTCTTCCATAGAAACTATAAGCAACCTGACTTTAGCTCCAACTTGCCCTATAAACTTAGTGTAGGAAAATTATTTCCAAGAAAAACCCATGACCTGTCAGAACTCTGCTGCTAAAATCAGCTGCCGCAAGATACTCTGTAAGAAGTATTCCCTGTGTTATTTCAGTATTGAACAATGTAGTTCTGAAGCAATCTAAACTAGTAAAATTGCTTTTGATCTTGAATTCCCATTTTTCATACATTT